AGAGCTGTTGATAGCAACAAAAATACAGGAAGCTGTGAAGAGCCATGACACAGAGAGTATAACAAATGTTTAAATTAAATATGTCATAATATTTAATATGACTTATTTAATGCTAGCTTACAAGCTGCCCTATCAGGTGTAATTTAACCTAGCTTCTGCGGAGGGCTCTTGATTGTTTCCGTCATCATAATAGATAGGGAGGAGTAGATGCAATTGTCATCAATAAACTACAGAACTCAAAATTGATCACTGCATTTAAGTATTGCATTAATATTAAAGCTTAACTTTTAAAAAGTTCAATGATAATTCTTCTGTCACCATTTAATTTAAAGACAATTTGATGTACATAAGTCCTTACTTTCCATACAAACAATTATTTTTATTTCATGAGGGACTTTCATTGGATTTCACAATTAATTTTGATTATTCCAAAATTTATTTCAAAGTTATAAAAATTGTTATCGTACAAAAAATTTTGTCAAAAAATATAATGTAAAAAGTTTCCAAAACAATGAAAACTTAGGAATTCAAAATTTCAGGATTGTGGGTCTGGATCCGGCCTGTAATGTTTGTAATTTGTTTATGGAGTGGGCCTGATTCCAAAATGGTATGATATGTTGGGCTAGGAGTAAAGTTGAAGAAATTTGACACAGTGACATTCACATCTTTTATATAGATGACTTAATTAATATGACTTATTAAACAAAATGTAAAACGATATGATGAGAAAAAGTACTTTTGTTCAATGAATATATTTAACAGTTTTTTTCAAGAAAAATATTCTATTTGTATAAATTCAAAACAACCTGACTAAATTCTCTTTGTATTTCTGCTATTTACTTCTATCTTAATTTGTTGCTTTTTATCAAATCTTTTCTCACGATATTGATACATACTGCCTACTCACTGTTGTTGTAACTGTCACTGAAGTGATCGTGTATATTTTATCTGAAAAATTTATTTACGTATTTTATGATAAATCAGGGATGCTAAAATTAAACATGTACACAAATTTAAATATCTGGTAAGTGTTCTAACAGAGGACAGAAAGTGCGACACTGAAATCCAAAGATGTATTGGGATGGCCAAAGATGCCTTCCAGAAGCTAAGCAGAGGATTTAGAGACAGAAAAAATCTGTTAAAAACAAAGAAAAAAGTAAGCCTACTGAACTGTGACATGATATAATTCCTCCTGTATGGCAACAAATGCTGGGCACTCACTTCATAGATGAAGAAGAAACTTGAAACAATAGACATGTGATTCTACAGAAGGATGCGAAAGATGCCATTGAGTGAATGATAAGTTTTTAGATAAAATAGAAACAAAAAGGAAACTTTTCCTTAACAGCAGGAAAAACAGTTGAAATATCTGGGGTACATAATAAGGAAGGAGGGCTTGGAAAATTTGATACTCACAGGACAGATAGAGGGCAAGAGGGACAGAGAAAAACAATGTATAACATACTTAATGAGCTTGAGTAAATGGATGGTGGAACAGGGTTTAGGAGAAATAACAAAAACACAAAATTTATTAAGAGTTACAAAGGAGGGGAAATTGTGGAGAGCCATGATCATCTACATTCTGAGGGAACACAGCATATAAAGAAGATTTTATGTCAAAAAGCCTGAAAGGAAAGAGAGGCAATAAACTTTAAGTTGTCCTCTCAATCTTTTTTCTTTGCCTACTATTCATCATATGAGGCAAGACAATAAATATCTGCTCCTTACTAAGTTTGAAATTCTTTTCTAAGACACCATGCATCCCTTTAGGGATTAGCAAACAACTATGTGTTATTTTAGCTACTGTTGGTCTACAAGGAAACATGGTAAATATCTGCTCCTTACTAAGTTTGAAATTCTTTTCTAAGACACCATTTTTGACTTTAATCCAAATTGTTGTTTTTGTTTTAAAAGTGTTTTCCTTGTTTTTGCATTTCTTTGAAATGTATTTTATCCATTTGCCTTTTTAGAGATGTATTTGTTATTTGTTTTTAATTCTCACAACATTAATTCTGCATTGATTTGTCAATAAAGAAAAAAAAACAATCATCAATGTGAAGCATAAACCTTTTTCATTAAGACCAGCATGTAGTTACATCTGTAGATCAATTTCCAAAATAAAGTTGTAACAAAAGCTAAAAAAAAAAAAAAAAAGATGAAAGTACTATGCAGAAATTAGTAATAAAAATGGTTGATATAATTATGGCTTCTGCTTAAGCACCATATTACCAACAGTACTACCAGTTGCTTAGTAACTGTGATATTATCAAATTACAAAACCCTGTTTTAAATAAGGCCGGTAATTAAGTCACATGGAAAAAGTCACAATTTGGTTTCATGAGTGATATGTTTGACTTTGATATACAAAATGAACGCATTTCTGAACCACGCTCCTTGCTATCAATAATTTACATGACAGGAGGCAAAAAAGTTATTTTTCACTAACTTCAAATGTTGTCAATCCACAACAGCACTGAGATCCCAGATTTCCACTACTCACCCTGTCTTCAGGGTTAGGGGTAGGGTTAAAAAGTCTATTAAAGAAAGACACAGAAACAGTGCTAACATTGTCCTGTTTTTTTTTTTTTTGTTTTTTTTTGTGACATTTTTTTCCCCTGGATTCATTTTAAAATCTAAAACTGAACAGGCCTTTCCATGATATTCAGTGCAACATTAAAGCACTCAGAAAAACAAATTTTGTTATTCAACTTACATACTGAAATACTCAACACCCACCCTCCCAAAGAAAACAAAACAAAGAAAACTCAGTCCTGGGTATGATGATAAACTACATCTGACAGCAAGACCTCTGATTGGGAGATTGGAGCTTTTGAGGTATGTGGAAACATCTGCTAAATGTTGTTGTTCCCAGGTCCACCCTAACCCAGGGTAGTTGCATCTGTTAGGGTCCCATCTATGGGCAAAGAGTTAACCCCATAAACTGGGTTCAAAACAGTATGAAAGCATAAAAATAAATTTTGATAGCAAAAATACTAGCAATACATTTTTGGAAAAAAATATTAATATATATTCTACTCATACAAAGCTATTCTAAAAATCTTGTGAACATTAAATAAACTGAATTGAGACAGGGTTATGCTGTAAAACAAAACAAACAGCAAATGGCCACAAAAAAAAAAAAAAAAAAAAAATCAAACAAAGTGTATTATTAATCAGCATTAGTTTAACTACAGAAAATAACAGAAATCATGACATTAAGATCCACTCAAGAATATGTTTAATTTCCAGTGAATTTTACAAATCTAAAATATTTTCAAGAAAATAAAGAAGAGTGGAATTATCAAAGGAGGAAACATTTTAAATTATTTTTAATAAAAATGATAATATTAAAATTGTCTGAGAAAAAAATATATTGGTTCCAATCCCCACGGGGAATGACTGCAAAACATTTCCCTCCCCAATATATGGGCAGAAGCACACAAATGCATGCTGGGATTTCTTCCTAGCCAATATAATAGGCTGGTTCTCGATTTTATATGACTCAGTCCCAGTCTGTTTTTTCTTGAAGTCAGAATGCTACATTCGCTTGTCCTAACTTGCTCTTGTGTGTCAACCCCAATTCTTAGTTTGTAAAATTTTTTGCCATCTTACAGTTGCTTTGCCTTATTACTGTTAATTTGCTTTACGCATATCATTTGCTGGCTTTGTATTATGTTTTGCCCTGTTCTTTTCTTTTTTTTTTAAGTTTTGACAAATTTGTTTGTTGGGCAGTTCTGCCATTCATTTATTTTACATTTAACTTTATTTATGGTCACTCACTCCACAAAAAGTAATTAAAATGTTGAGACACTTGAAACTAGACACAAATAAATTAGAATAAACAAAAACAGAAATTATTTACATTATTTACAATCGGACTATTGTCCTCATCTTTGTTGTTATTATGACAACATTTTCATCCCTTCTCCCCAACCCACTGGCCTTTTTCAGGTTTCTGTCAATCCAGCTAACCTTCAGAAATTTTGAACAGAACTCTTTATTCAATCTACAGGGTTAAGATTATTCTCGTACTGCTCTCTATATCTCAAAATATTATGTATTGTTCTTATTTAGTATATGGCTGTTAGGAGGTTAACAGTTGTAGATGAGCTGTTTATGTTCTGATAATATCCGTTCTCACCATATATCAGTATATTTGACTTGGATCTATATTGGCCTTGTGTAATGATTAAAAGAAAATGGACAGAGTATTGATAAATACAAAATAAATATTTATATAACACAATATAATAATACAGAAGGATAAGGTGAAGGTTGAAGTTTTAAGAGTTCAAATGTAAAAGTCCAGGAGGAAGTGAATATATATATACATAAGTATGTACCCAAATGTAGCAGCTACTGCTTGACAATGTGGTGAAGGAAAGTATGTTTGTTTTCAATGCAGCAAGGCAGTGTAGCTATCTAAGGTTGCTAGCTAGTCATGTAAATATCATATTTCATCTCTGGGTATATTACAAAGACTGCAGCACCGAAGAATGGACAAAATTCATTTATTGATCTGGTTTTGGTTGATTTTCCATTTGTTTATATACATATCTGTATATCTACTTTGAAAAGGGTGCTTTGCTTCTCATTGGTTAGAGGCCTTATATCCTGATTGTAAATTTATTTATTTTCTTACATCCTGGTTGGTTGGGAATGCTTTCTGATTGGTTAGTTAAACTATAGCTTTGTTTGCCTGACGATTTTTATTATCTGTCTATTTGTAGAGATGGTGACATTTTGGTCTTCTTGTTATTTATTTCTCTGTCACCAAAAGTACTTCTCAGTTATTAGTAGTCTTGTTTTCAATTAGTATTATTCTAGACTACTTAGCCCAGGGATTGAACTCACAATTATTATGGCACTAAGTTCACAAACCAATGCTTTAATTGAGCTACCAGCCTTTTTTCAATGTCAGTTGTAATCTTTAACCTTCTGGGAATTATCATTATTATGCACTGATTTACTCTGACGAGTGTCCTCATCTTCAATATGGTTTACGGCCATATCATGTTGAAACATTGGTTCCCATTTGATCACCAAAGTTAAGCAACATTAAGCCTGGTCAGAACCTAGATGGATGACTGCTTAGGAATACCAGGTTCTGTAAGCTTGGATGTGTGGGTGGTGTAATGGATAATAGCTGAGAATTGTTAATCAGAGAGTTGAGTTCCAATTCCAGTTGGGTTTGTTATATTCACTTAAATGCAAATACCCTTTGGAAAAGTGTGAATTGATCTCTTCTCCCACCAGCTATGCGTTAATTAGTAAGACTTATGTCACTAAACCATTATTATCTAAAAAAAAAAAATTCTTACAATTTAAAAATATTTTCTGGCTTTAAATAATGTGCAAAGGCAGTAAAAAAATGAATCAACCATTTTGGTTGTAATAGCAACAATATTTCATAGCCCCCAGCTTTCTGTTGCATTTAGTAGCTTTCTGGGAATTCCAGACTGAATTCTTAATTCAATTCATGTGTATAGATTGTTATCATGTGTATCACTCACCTGTCGATTGAATAAGGAATTCATTTTGAAGTTCTCAGAAACTTACCAACTATGATGGATACTTAAAAAATAGTCAAATGTACAAGAATGAAATTAATGTGACTATAACAACTGAGATGACTGTTAATCATGAGAATTACTCATCTACAAAATCAAGTCAAAACTTAAAGAATTATCTGATAATTGTGTTTCACAGACATCATTTCATAATGATTTTATTATTCGACAAACATATGCAGCAAAAGGGAACTGAAGATGCTCTCAAAGCTGAATTATCTCTTTTCAGAGATAAAGATTCCATTGAGAAGACAAAAGCTTCATTCAGTTTGACTAGTGCTTAAAGGAATTTTTTTTAATTATTATTTCTTATGATTAATTATTTAATGTTTTCAACAACTTGATGATATCATTTTGTAAAAAGGCAAAACTCTTTTTTATAATTCTAAATAAATTTTGTTTATAAATCATCTTTGAAAATAACAGCGATTAAAAAAAACAAAAAAAAAACAAAAAAAAATATATTGTCACATTAAAGTCTTTTAGTTTTGATTCCAGGATTTTGATTTGGTAGGAATTCTTGTTCAACAACAACTGTGGCTTGTGTCAAACCCAAAGATATCAAAAGAAGAAAAAGGTCAAAGACTGACGCCAAAAAATGCTATAGCATAAATATTTCCTAACCAAGGTTTTCTGGAGTTTTTTGTTATTTTTTTCTTGCACTTTTCTCATGTTTTAGATCTGGTACTGAATTGTATGTTATGTGTTATATATTTCAAGTATTGGGCAATCATGGCTCTCCTCAGCTTCCCACAATGTGTCACTCTCAGTAATACCCATTCCTTTATCATGGCTTAGATTTGGTGCTGAATGTTATATCAATTCAGGTATTTGATGATCATAGCTCTCCACAGCTTCCTGCCTTTTATCATTCTCAATAATATCCTTTATTATGGCTTAGATTTGGTACTAAATTCTGAAATTCTGTTATGTGCTTTGTCCATTCATGTATTAAGTGGTTATGGCTTTCCTCAGCTTCCTGATTTTTGTTATTTTCAGTAATACTTGCTCTTTTATCATGGCTTGGATTTGATACTAATTTCACTGTTATGTGCTGGTAGGTTATATGAATTGTATCAGTTTAAATGAAAAGATTTGCTCTGTGAAAGAACAAAGTATAACAATACAAATTAGGAAAAGTTTATTTAAAGATTCACATGGGAAAACCTTCAAAGAACTTACAAAAAGTACCATCATTTTTTATAGAAAAAACTAACATTAAGATTCTAGAGAACATAAAATTGGGGATCAGTTTTCTATTGTTAATAAACAATAAACTGGGTACCCTTCCTGAATCAATAATTTTGCTTTAGCAGTAATGTTCATGACTTGCCAAATTATCAGAATAAGACATGCTTTGAATATGAGTCCAAGTAGTGAAATCTGAGTGGTGTGTCCTGATTATCTCCCTTTGGTCTTCTTCAAGAATTATTTAAAATGATAACTGGAAAGGGGAGCAACAATTTTTATTGTAAAATGGAGAATTTTTGATTATTTCAATGTATCTTTGTTAGTAAGACTATAACAGACAAATTCTATTTAACACTCTCTTGTGGAACTCTCTTCCAGATTATTGCTTTCTTGTCAACTACGATCTTCAAAAATTTCAATACAATATCAATTGTCATTTTCTGTCTTCTTGCACACTAAGATCCATAGATGAATTGGGATGGCCAAGGTCACATTCCAAAAGCTGAGCAGAGTATTGTGAGACAGGAAGAATTCTTTGGTAACAAAGAAAAGAATACTGAGCTGTTAGGTGACATCTGTCCTTCTTTACGGCAACGAATGTTGGATGATTTCCTTAAAGATGAAGAAGAGACTTAAAGCGACAGAGATGTGGTTCTACAGAAGGTTGCTAAGGATATCATAGACCAAGCGTGTGAGCAATGATGAAGTCTTAGAGAGGTTGCAAACAAAGAGGAGGCTTATACTTAACATCAGGAAGAGGCAGCTGAAGTTTCTGGGAAGCATAGTGAGGAAGGAGGGCCTGAAGAATCTGATACTCACAGGTTGAATAAAGGGAAAGAGAGACAAGAGAAAACAATGCATGAAGGACAGAACATGGTCTGGGGAAGAAACTTGTTGAGAGCTGCAAGGGATAGAGCCATGATTGCCTACATCCTGAAAGGACATGGCACATAAAAAGAAAAGAAAGAATCCTGTTCTTTTATTGTTGTCTTAGTTTCTTTCACTTGTATTCAATTGGATTATATTGCCTTGCTTGGGATGAAATGATTAAAAAAAATCTAAAGCGAGGTGAATATATTTTTCATATTATGTCTTAATACTATTTTTTTAATGTTCATGGAATCAATGCTGGTGTAATAGTAATCAATGTCAAGAAAGTTAAAAAAACATCAAAAGAAGGAGAATAAAAATTAAAAGAGAAAAAAAGAAAAGAAGAAAAAAGTGCAAGAAAATCATAATGATGATATAAAAAAAGAAAAGAATGAAACTTCTGTAAAGAAAAATGACCATTTTATCCAAAATTAATATTGTTACTGAACTCTTCAGTAATGTGAGATAAAAATATTGCCACTGCAATAAGAAATTTCAAATTCAAACTTTATGAAATGCACTGCAATTGCCTTGAATAAAAGTGATTGATTGGTTTGCTTTCTCTGGCTTATCAACCCTTTTCAGGTTATTTAAAGCCAGAAAATATTTTTAGATTCTAAGAATAAGGGGGAATAATAACAGTTTAGTGATACAAGTTTTACTAATTAACCAAGAGAGAAGAGGAGGATTCATACCTTTCTCAAAGGTATTTGTGTGTAAGTGAATATAACGAACCTAACAGGAATTAGAACCCAGTTCTCTGATTAACAATTCCGGGCCATTATCCATTACACCACCCACATATCCAAGATTACAGCATTTGGTATTCCCAAAAGATCACCCATCTACTAACTGGGCTTGACGTTGCTTAACTTTGATGGCCCTATGGGAATTAATGTTTCAATGTGATGTCGCTGTAAGCCTGAATAAAAGTGACATAACAAGAATTTTATCAACAAAAGGTAACAATCATTTTTGTATTCATTTATACATATTAAAGATACATGTGTGTGTAGATACAAACACACAAACAACAATTGCCAATGTTTCAGTACTAGGAACAACAGAACATGTCCTTTCAGCTTTTAAAGAGCCTTTTTGAAAACTGGAAATGTTATCTTGTAATAGAAACAACCAATTATTAGTCCTTTTTTTATGTTGACGTTCCTGATTAATTGTTGACGATGAGAAGATATGCACATTTGCATTTTCACTTTTTGTTTTTTGTTTGTTGAGTTAATGTCAAACATTTAGTGCTCAGTCCAAGTATGAACATGAATGCCAAGTCTTTCCCTACACTAACAAGAATTAAGTAGATAAGCCCAGAGCCCTGTTCATAAGACAAGCAAGTAGATTGCTGAAATATTTACAGTCAAGAGTAATGCATATGTGACTTCATGGTTCAGTGATAGCCTTCTTAAATCATCCAAGGGGTAGCAACAGCAGCAGGTTGAGCTTTCAATCAGATTATAAGGATACAGAAGGCGGTTATATCCCTTTGGTGGAGATAAGTCACATGGGTCACATGATGGCTGGTTAGTGACATCACTCCATACAGTGACGAAAATGTCAGTTAAATTCAGTTTTGTTTACAGCAGCCAAACATAAAGGTTGCTTTCTTTAGACCACCCTCAATGGCCCGGGCAGAAACTAAATTTGCCTCCCCAGCATCTAACAAGTCCATGGCACTGTTTTCCTTTGGGAATATATCTTTCTCAGATATAGAAACTCGCAGTCCTCAATTCATAGAATAGGTACTAGCCTGGGACATAGATGAATCTGGCCTGTTTGAATTTGAAGTCCTAAATATGACTTCTCTAAACACAGGAGCATCTCCATATTACATATAATTCAAACAGGCCAGATTCATCTATGTCCCAGGCTTCCTTTTTGTTTCTCCTTATACTCCGCTTTGCCGTGAAGATATATGCGATATATTTTTTGTCTGCATGGGACATGTGTGTGTGTGTGTGTGTATACACACACACACTTTTGTGTATGTCTTAGTAGTATAAAAGTCTCTCTGAGAACAAAGCATGTTTGTCATTCCGTTTCCTTTCAGCCATTCCATTCTGTCAGTCAAATACAGTGTTGCTATATCCTGGATATAATGCCTATAATGGGGGAAATACAAATGGAGAATAAATCGTTCTATCATAGCTCTCCTCCTGTTAGAAGAAGTTGAACATAGGAGTTCAATCATTGAACTGGTTGAACATTCTGCAGAGAGAGATGAGAAACCGAGCCCATTCATTGTAATGCTTCCTGATTATTCTCTGCTTATTCTCCAGTTGAGTAAAAAAATTTGATGCAAGCATTTTATTCTTTATTCTCTCTCTGGAAATGGTAAAATGGAAGCAGATAGAACAAAAGTATTCTTGAAGCCTTCCATGAAGTAACAGCGCATCAGATACAATCCTTACAAAAGAAATTAATATTAAGAGTTCAATATGTCTGTTATGTAATGTAAAGTACTGATGAAC